GATCCAAGTGGTCACCCTGACCGCAGGCAGTGATGCTTGACTTCGGTGATCTGCTGGGAACCGTGTCTTAAAGATCAGTCCCCTGCGGGACAACTGTTTTGCTTACAGTACGATAACTTTATCTTTTTTCAAATCATTTTACGATTATTTTCTTTAATAACCTTATTTTTCAGCAATTATTATATGGTTTTGAACATAGTATAAGAAAACTTCCATTCGACTATATTATCAAATTGATATAGTACTCTACCTAATTATTATATTTCTTTCGATATTATTTTTTGCTAAGTTAAGTTTCCACTATAGATTTAAAGTTTTTACTCTTAAATATTATTTCAATTAGTAAGATTTTTAAGATAAAAACAGTTTGAGATTTCCCTTCATGCTAAGACACTAGAGTTGCGGTAGCTCAGGGAATAAAGAGCTTGTATCCCAATTTGGTAACCCAGCTTTGAATCTCAGTGTGGATTGGCTCTTGGCTCACGCTGACCACAGTGTTAATATGTTTATTTTATAGAGTGTTTTGTGAAAATAACAATACTTATCCACCTAAAAAACAAACGCCTGTTTTTAACTAATTGTATTTTCTGTAAAATAAACGGTTTTAATCTGTTAACACCAGTCGACATTTTTTCCAGTAAATTTAACAGTTTTTTTACAGTGTATGAATGCTGAAATTTTCTTAACTCCATTATCTCTAGCACGTTTTCGAACGACAAAGAGGAAAATATTTACATAAGTAAATAATAGAATGATAAAAAAAAAGTTTGTTAAGAAAATAATATTTTTTTTTTTTGCAATATATTTGTTGTACCCTGGCATATTAGGTATACTAAAGCACTGTCAGACCTTTATATTTCGTTATTTTTCAAACATAACTATATTGTTTAAAACTAATAAAAATTTATATTTATAGGGAAATTACTAGACTGAAGCTGTGCATTAATTGCATTTTCGTGTGTGCAAAATCGTGCGTGGGGGGGTGCTGGAATCAGCAAATTTCGTTTCATTGCAGCCCGCCAATCCTTGCATAAGCCAGAAGCAACTAATTATCATAGTGCATGAGGATAAAAATGATAAGTTGAAAATTTTTCTTCTCCTTAGATTGACCGAGAAAAAAAAATCTGAAACGTCCAGCATATAACAGTAACTACATTTTTTAAAATCTTCTCTCAATACAAAAATTATTCGACCAATGCTGGCTGCCAAGTTTTCAGCAAATAACTGGTGGATCAAGATAAGAGGGGATTAAAGTCTCCAATATTCAGTGAGCTCTTTTCAGACCTCGAACCGCAATATCCCTGATTGTGGGAGTTTAAAGAAAAGAGGGCACGTGCCACGAGGAGGCCACTGGGTCGTAGGTCAGTTACAGCTGTCCCTTTTGTGTGCCTTCACTGATAGAGGGTGGAATTAAGAGGACTTAACGTTTCTTTTCAGCTTTTTCTCGTACCTGATGATAGCCGTCCTAAAAGGTGGCCAGAAGCAGATGTTAAGCACATTTTAACACATATGTGAAAGATTTTGTACAAATTCAGTCGCATTCGATAAAGGATTATTGATAAATTTGTGTGAATCAAAGTTATTGTTCAGTAGTCTTAAAATATAAGGAGAATTGATGTTTCTCTCGCTGAATATTGAACCATTATCATTAGTTAATTTTCTATGAAATATTTTAAAATTTTGAAACGAGTGTATGATGCATCACCGTGATTGAGAAATATACAATTAGGGCAGAATCGGGTAGCCCCGCCCACTTAAGGAGTATTGCTTATATTTCTGTATAACATTGAGTAATAATCAATATTTTTGTATGTTTCTATTGTTTTATCATCTAATTAAATAATGCAAAAAGAATAAACCAAAAAAAGAATAGTTTAACTTAAAAAAAGAGAAATTTAAAAAAACACGTTTTGCAGCTCTTTTTAAAATGTGTCGGGTAGCCCCGCCCAGTTACAAAAATTACGTTCTTTTACTGTTCTTTCAGGTGTAAATGAAAATGACCAATGTATTAACAATAGATAAACCTCATTTATTATTTTTATCACAAAATTCAACAGATTTTTCTTAATTTCATGACTACTGTATTCAACATATTTACAAAACTATTGTTTACCATGTTACCAGCAGCATAAATACTTGAAACTTTGAAAATAATCTTTTTTTAATATAACAATTAATGTCCGATCGCCCATTGACTTGAAAAAATATTCTATACATATGAAATTGACAGTGGGAGGGGGTACTCGACACTCCCTTAACTATTTTTTTTTACTTATATTCCCTAGTCAAAATTATTGATGGTCCCATCAAAACATTTTGATGGTTTATGTTGGTTTCAGTGCTATTCAAGATGGTCCAACATCATTTGGTGGTCGCCATTATCCAACATTTTCCATTATGCGGTCATGGATTTTGATATGCCAACAAACTTCCATCATTCCATGATGGAAAATGCTACTTTAAAACAATGATTGTTAACCATCAAGAGAAGTTTGATTCTCATGAACCAACAATCAGTGATGGTTCCAACTATACATTTCCATTAAGTTTTAATCGGAATTATTGTTAGTTCAGCAGGAATATACCATCAAAACAATTTGCTTTATTTTTTTAAGTTGGCCCAATTAAAAAATCAGTCCGAATTGCTACATTGGGATGATGGTGGTTCCTGATCGTTCCAACATTTGATTTCTAAGAAACTATGATGGAAATTTCTGATGGTTTAACAAGAACAAACCATCAAAACAAGTTGCTATTCTTATGTTGGACCATCATAAATCAGTCCGAATTCCTACAATGGGGTGATGGTTACTTATGTTGGTGACTATCAAAATTATAATGGTTCATGATGATTATTGATGGTTACCATCAAGATCATGTTGGTCCATCAATGGAAAACCATCAAAAATTTTGCTGCTTATACTATAAAACAGTACTTCATTCAATAATTTAAAAGGTCGCTATTATTGGACTGGGTTCTTTGTTGGGGTTCACGGACATCTCTTATTTTACAGTCATTGACAGCAATGACCATCGAGCAAGCCTACTTTATGAAGTTTAAAAACTGCCATTTTTAGCATGATTTAATTAACATTTGAACAAAGTTTATGTGCAAAAGAATACTAATTTTGTACTCTTTGTCTAGTTATTTAAAGTTAGCAAACTATGGTTAATGACAAATTAATAGTGTTTCAGTTGTTGATGATAATATTTCATAATCGCGATTCAATTATATTATCTGCTGTTGTATGCTTTATTGCACCCGAATTTATGAACATATTTTGTACCCACTGCTAATTACCTTCAGTTATCTTAAGTTCGATGTCATAAAAAAATAATAAAAAAATTCCATAATATTTGCGTTTTTTAACGGATGGCTGGGTTGGTTGTGAAAAGCCGTAGAATTTACAAAGTAAATCGGTAGCCTCAATAGCTTTTAACCATAGAAGAACAAGTTTTTTTCCGCTTAAGTTCCTGAGTAAATTCATAGGGACAATGAATCTTTGCTATACAAATACGCTTTATTGTGTAAAATAAGTTTTCTCCGTTAAAACTACGAAGAAAATCCGTAGTCAGAATCATTTTTTACCATTTCAAAACAAGTTTTTTCCGTAAAAGTTACAAAGTAAATGTGTTTAGTCAGAACAGATTTTAACCCTATGGAAACAAGTCTTTTCTGTGAAAGTTACGAAGTAAATTTGTACTAACACCAGGTATGGATATTTTATGACAGCACTACGGTCGGTGCATGCCGGAGCAAAATTTGTATCGACTAATCATCAAGCCTGGGGCACATCGAGATCACTGTCCCTTAAGCTACGGCTGCTTATCATTATGAAAAAAATTATTTTATTATGATAAAATGTTTAAAACTATCTTTACCTTATAAGTCTTGTATAGAGTCGTGGTGGCTCAGGAGTTAAGCTTTCTCTTTTCCCTGAGCTGACCCAAGTTCAAATCCCTGTGATTGCTGGTTGATATGAATTGTGCTCCCGGCAAATCTTATCCAAGATATTTCTTAAGTTTTGCTGCGTTTTTGGCTCTATGGGAACACCAAAAATCTCGGTAACTTTTACCAAGATTTTTCAAGAAGTCGGTGCTTTGCTCTTGAAAATGGGAAAAGTATCCATTAAATATGGTCTTATAATGTATGATAAAATTTGGTAAGTGTGATATAATTTTGAAATTTTATCATTATACTTTGGAGCCAGCATAAATCCCATTTATTCGGTTAAATATGCTTTTCAGTTTTGATTTTTTTTACAAAAAGTGCGGTGTTAAGAACTATAATTTTGAAAACCAGAATTTCCGGTCAGGGGATAGAGCGTTCGCTTTCCAATGAGGTGAACCGGGTTCGAATCTCAGTGATGGCTGGTCGATACGAATTCCTCATCTGGCTCACACCAACCACAGTGATGACGCAAAATATCATCATCAGTGGTAGATGAATCATGGGTTAGAGTCCCCTTACCGTCAGGCTAACTGTGAGAGGTTTTCGTTGTTTTCTTCTCCATGTAACTTAAATGAGGGTTAGTTCCATCAAAAAATCCTCCATGAAGGAAAATTTCACCCAATACTTGATCCAAGAGTTCCCTTGTCTTCTGGATTAGGTTTAAGAATTACAAGGCTACGGAGTTGAACATTAGTATTTGCAAACTCAAATACTTGGGCCGTCTATTCAACGACGGTTATAGAATAAAATAAAATATCGAACTTAATACGAAGTGACTTAAAATTTGCACTTCTTNATATATATGTGTGTATTTTTTTAAGCCAAAATTAAGGTATTATTACCAGAAATGTCATTGCCACACGGTTCGATAATTTTATCAGAATTTTTGTCTCAGTGTGGAAACAATTAAAATATTTAACATGAATAATTTTACAGTTCTTCAACTGTACAATGATTACTGTGCAACTATTAATGCTGAAAAAAAAATTGTGTTTTCTTGAAAAATTCTTTTTTTTTTAAATCAATGTAAACTTAAAAACTTGTAATGTAATCAGAAAAAAACATTTATTATGTAATTACAATAAATATTTACAGTTTTTGTACAGTCAGTTGTGAACAATTATCTTGCATCAAGTTCCATCTATAACTTGCCGTAAGTGGTCAAGTCATTGACAATAAAAACAATAAAACATGTTGATTTGCACAATTATTATCATAATTCGGATTAAAGCTTCTTTACGACAAATAAAAGTTTAAAATAAGAAACAAAAAATTTTCGAGAACTATCATATTTTTTTAAAAAAAGAAAGGTTTAAAATAAAACTTAACGTAAACATAACTTCTCTGTTTTTCCAATGTATTGACGATGTGATTCAGATAAAATTCCAGTTAACACATTTAAGCTCTTTTACTCATGTTTTTTTCTTTTAACAAATACATATTAAAATTCATGGGTATTCATGTTTATATTTTTTTGGAAAAATATTTTTTACATAAAATGTGTACAACAAGTTTGTGTTTAATAATTCAAAACTTAAATGCTATCGAGGCAAAAAATTAACAAAAATCTCAATATTCTTGATTAAAAACGTTTAATTTTAAGCCAATTTCTACTTTGAAGTATTATTTTTGCAACGAGTAAAAACTACCGAGTAAGCAATAAATTAAGTTTAGTTTTGTTAAAAAAAGAAAACACAATTAATTTTTTGACTCATGAAAAAGCATTCTCTCAAAATTGACCACTTAAGATATTTTTCTCTGAGTGATAATGTTTTTAAGGCCTGCACTGTAAAACCTTCAGGATCAAATTACGGTCTAAAGTGCATCATTCATAAAATCTATTTTTACAGTAAAATTGATAATTGTACCGTAATTTTTACAGTAATATTAATTTAATATGGTGATTCAGTGATTTTGAGGTAATTATTACTGTAAAAATTGCGGTATATCAAAATTTTGTTCCGTAACAAGTTCTGGTAAGTTTTCACAGTGTATTCCTTATTTTCAAGTTCTCTCATAAAGTTTGTCACCTACAATACGGTAGGAAAATAGATAATGACTAGATGCACGACTTGAATCATGTTGATATCATAAAAAAATAGTTATCAACTTGTTTTTAATGTTTCAATATGATTATGAAGTTTGAAATCATTCAAAGAGACGGGTAAACCATTTTGGTTTGAGTTCTTTACGCTTAGTTGTCAACTTAATTTACATTAAGTTATATTAACAATAGTGTTAGGTGATGATTAAATAATACGAAACGAATTACGATGATTTGTTGTTGTTGCTTGACAAAAGGCAGAATAAAAGCATTAAAACTTCAGCTTGGAATATACCAATACTATCATACAATACATTTCCATTTAACAGTTCAGCTTACTCATGTTGTTAAGTCTCTCCAGCCTTAATTATCACTTTTTCCCATAAATATTATACAAGCTATAGTGAGGTTAATGACTAGATACAAGACTTGGATGATTTTGTCATGCATGAATGATTTAATATACCATGTAAAAGAAAAAAGAAAAAATTTCTTTCACGTGTTTCAATGGGGCTATAAAAATTGAAACCTCCATGAAGTTCAGCTTATTCTTACAATTTTGTTTCTCCATTACTAATTTCAAGTTTTCTGTTCCATCTATCAAAATTATATTTAAGAAAGTTCTTAGCTAGAAGTGGTAATTTAATGACTAAATGCATGATTTGAACAATGTTGTTATGGTAAAGTAGCATAAATATTTTGAAAAAAAGTAAATGGCTTCTGCGTTCGATTACTTATATGAAATAGAATAACCAGATGTCTCCATGCCAGTATGGCTTAAAAATGATACAGTTCATTGTTTAAAAATGAGCAATGCAATGTTAAACAATGCTGTTATGTGATGATCAAATTTATGATTTAAACTAAGATGATTTGCTGCTGCAGCATATAGTTGTTGAATGAGCATATAAAATATTTATATGAAGTTTTTAAATAGATTTATACAACATATACCCAGCTAGAAGTTTAAATATTTGCCACTTACTCATGTGATCTTTATCACGATTCCTCACGATTTAGTTTTATTCATAAAAATAACTAGATCAACTAGTAATGATGTGATAAAGTAGCATAAGAATAAGTTAGTATAGAGCTTCGATTATCCGAACCGATTAGGACCAAAACCGATCCGGAAAACAAAAAATCCGGATAATTGAACAACTCTGAAAAAATGGTTATAAGAATGTTATTAAGTAACTTATTTTCACAATTTTTGCAGGCTTAGGACTGGAAATTTTAATATAGCCTACAGTAAGCATACAAAGAATGGTGATTTTAAAATGTTTAACTTTGAACAGTAACATTTTATTTTTTACAAAATTTGCCTGACAAAATGTGTTTTAAGACTGAGAGAGGTTATTTGAGAAAGGTGTTTCACCTCCTTTTTCTAATTCTTGAAAAAAGAAGAAATGAGCTCCCCTTCTAGAAACTACTAGCCTCTTGTCACCTATATTGAAACTCAAGAGCAAACGAGAGATATTTTTCAAGGTTACCAAATGAAGAAAAAGTCATTTTCTTTACCCTTTTTCATATATTCCGAAAATAAAGGAGCATTTTTGCGAAATTTCTTTTTTTTTTTAAAGTTGTAAAAAACACATGGTCTTCGAACGTTCCGGATAATTGGACAATCCGGTAAATCGGCAATCGGATAATCGACGCTCTACTCTATAAGCAATTATAAATACCGCCATAAGTTTTTTAATGCGGAATCATGGATTGAAGTATGTCACCAGATGATAACTTTAAGTTTTATCTCTATTTATAGGGTTGAATCTTGCCCATAAACAACGATGTTGATCATAATGTGTATAATGATTAAGTACTTGACTTGTATGAGGAAGAGTATGAATTGTGAGCATAGAAGTATAGCGACTACCATTTTGGAATTTCCAATAGGCAGATCAAAGTAGGTCACTAAATAATAGTTTCAAAATTCATCCTTGGCTAAAGTTCTTGACATTATCTTAGTTTAGCTTTTATATAGGTTTAAGATTTTATACTTGGTGTCACGGTTTAAAGTTTCATCTATAAGCAACTATTTCAACCATAGTGTGGATAATGACTGGGAACATGACTCGAATGATGATGGTGGGGTAAAGGAGCGTGACTAGTTGGGGTAGAAGTATAAAAGACTACATAAAGACTACATTTCAGAGTTTCCAAAAGGCAGATCAAAGTATTTCACTAGATAATAGTTTCAAAATTCATCCATGGCCTAAGTTTTTGGTACATCTGAGTTTAGTTTTTATATAGGTTTAAGATTTTAAGCTTGGTGTCACGGTTTAAAGTTTCATCTATTAGCAACTATTTCAACCATAATGTTTATAATGACTGGGAGCATGACTCGAAGGATTATGGTGGGGTAATGGAGCGTGACTAGTTGGTATAAAGACTACCATTTTGAAGCTTCCAATAGGCAGATCAAAGTAGGTCACTAAATAATAGTTTCAAAATTCATCCCTAGCTTAAGTTTTTGACATATATGAGTTTAGTTTTTATGTAGGTTTAAGATTTTATGCTTGATGTCACGGTTCAAAAATTCATCCATAAGCAACTATTTCAACCATAGTGTGGGTAATGACTGGGAACATGACTCGAATGATGATGGTGGGGTAAAGGAGCGTGACTAGTTGGTATAGAAGTATAAAGACTGCTGCTTGGAGTGTTCCAATATGCAGATGAAGATTGGAACAGGTTACCTGATGGTGGCACGGCGCTATGGTGTGGGTTCATGCTGAAGCTGAGTTTGGGTCCATGTCCATAACTGGGATAAAACAGGTCACTTTGATATTTGTAGGTGGAAGTTGGGTCTGTGAGAGATGGCTGTGAAGCTTGTTGTGTTAAACCATGGAAGTCAAATTTGTAAGCATATCTTTTGCCATGTACTTTGGTCATGATGTTTTTGTCATAATAATACCTCAACGCTCGACTCAGCTTGTCGTAATTCATGTTTGGTTTGCTTTTCCGTTGGCCCCAACGTCTGGCAACTTCATCTGGATCTGTGAGCTTGAATTCACCGTTTGTACCTTCCCACGTTATGCAAGATGAATTGTTGCTATCGGATAACAATTCAAGTAAGAATTGCCACAACTGAATTTGTCCACTTCCTGTAACAAGGTACAAAACTGTCAAATTAATGATTACTTGAATGATATTACTAAAAATTTAGTTATAGTTCAGAAAATTTATATGGTTTAAGGTTTATGTTTAAAAACTTAATGTTTTGATTACAGTAGAATAATCATGTTCAACTTCAATTATTCGACTTCAAGAATTTCAGCTATTCATGAAATAAAGTTTCAACTATGTTCAATTGAATTTTTTTTTAAAAACTTAAATTGGTCAAAATATACGTGTAGTTAGTCCAGGTTGTTGTTAAAAGATCTAAATGAGTAAAATTACAATGATATATGATTTTATGTTGAAAAGGAATTTCAGATTATAAAAATGACGTAATGCTTACTTAACATTGTCTTTTAATTTTATAAATAAAGTAATACTATTCTTTATTCCAACTCACATATAACTTGTAAATTAAAACTTAGATAAAAAGTTTCAAACTTTCGGAGCTATAAGCCATTATCAGAAAAAAAACACAATATTTCTGTGATATTTCTGTGATTTCTGTCATATGTGTTAAATATACACATTGTAAGAAGATATATTTAAGTTGTAAGGTAATTAGTTGGGTACCATTTTAAATATGTTATCATAAAATATTGCGTAATAGGGTAATATCATTAAGTCTAATTTTATAATAAAGGGACACTGATTTCAGTTTTAAAATTTTGATTTTAAATAATAATTAAAATTAAAAGCGTAATAATGGCTGAAATTAATGTTAAAAAAGAATAAGAAATGTATATTACGAACTACTAGCTGTTAAAATTTTTAAAATGGAATCGTAAAAGCTGAGGTTGTGAAATAGACAGGAAAAAGGGAGCTAATAGAAACAAAAAATAAATTAATTAAAAAAAAAAGTATTAGTTACCTGAACTAGCTAGTCGTGAACTAGTCGCTCCAAACATTTGATATGGATCTGAAAAAAAGAAGAAAAAAAACATGTAATTTTACTGCAAAGCATATTTCTTAAAAAGAAGTTTCTGCTCAAGATACTTTTTTTTTTCCAAAGAAAATTATTAAAAATGAAATAAACTGCTTTCGAAACTTTAAGGCACTCTTTGAAAAAAAATAGATTTAGGTTTGATAGATAAGTCGAATGAAGTACGAATGAATTATTTAAAAATTTATTGACACTTTCAGAAAGATTGGCTCAGTAAGGAACCATAACAGTCTTAATAATAACAATTTCTGCAAAAAGGTGTTAAATTAAACCATGTTTTAATCCAGGTTGGACCAGTGTGTTTTCTTTTATAACCGATGTCGAACAGTCCACTCAATTCTGGACTTACGACTACTAATGTTCAATTCTGTAGCCCTGTAATTTTGAACCCAATTCAGAGGACGTGGAACTCCTAGATCAAGTATTGGGAAAAATCTGCCTTCGTGTAGGACTTTTTGATGGACCCGCTAACGGAGCTTTGCGGCTCATACAAAAAATTTTCTACTAATTGCAGTATTGTAAAGGTGTAAGCGATTCAGATTTGAATTACGTAGAACAAACATTCGGTAAAATCTCTCTATTATTGTTCAACTAAGTACTTTATTATAAGCAGATGGTTCAGAACGGTATAAAATTGTAGCACTTTTCATGCATCTTTAAAAATATTTATAGACAAATTTAGATTTGGGGTCATTTTAAAAATTTAAGATGTTTTACAGAAATGAATCATAACAATAAATTAAAATAACATAAAATATAATGAAAACTTTTGAATTAAAAATAAATTTGACTTCATTTTGTGTTTCTACTTGTATAAAGACTTACATTACAACTAAAATGTGAGGAATATAATTCAGTTATTTGATTAATCCCTTTTTCATACTCTTTTAGTGCAACTGGTGTCTTTTTATTCGTCAGAATTGATTAGAATATTATATCATGTTTGATTTTGAGAATGGTGTATTAATGGTTAAGATAAAAGCAAATGCCGGCTTAAAATGATGTAAGAAATTTTAATATATATATGTAACATAAAAAGCTTCAATTAATCTTTTTATGTTAGTTTCTTTTATAAAACTTCATCCTAATTAATTATTCTAAACGAAATACTTTCTCACACTTTTAAAAGCCACATCCTGTTCTTAAATCTATTTTTAGCTCAAGTATGCATTTAATTAAGAGCAGGACATTTTTCCCTTTGCTCTGTGTGGGAAACATTCGATCTATTTCATAATCCAATGGCAACTGCAGAGATTTCCCTCTTTCCCTAAATTAAGACATTTTACGGATTTTACTTTGCAAGATTTTCCCTAACATATAACCAAGGAGCGCAACTTTTCATGTGGACTTTCACTCACTCTCATGACTGCTCTTGTCTAATAATTAATAAATTAATTTTTGTACCCTCCTTCCCGATCTATGACCTGTTTTAATCCTTCCACTCGGCAATGACGTTATATATATATATATATGTTCTTTATTAGCACTCTTATGATTTAAATAATATTTTAGATATTGATTTTGAATTCTGGCAAAATATTGTTAATTTATATTTAAATATTGTTAATTTTTATCCGTGTCGGTATTTTTCTGCAGATTGTTGGCATACCACAGGATACCAATTTCGCAAGTATCCTTGCAAACCTTTTTTTGTACTTCGTTGAAGAAAATGATGCGATTTCCATTAGAAATGACTTCAGATTTATTGATGACTATATTATTTTTAATTGTGTGGATTTTATTAATATTGAAGACACAATTTATTCGGAGGAATCAACTTTGGATAAAACTAATCAATCTAATATAACTTTAGATTTTCTTGATTTATTTATTACATTAGACTCATCTAACTTTCAAATCAAATTGATATTTTTAATGAAAGAAATTATTTTCCATTAAACAAGTTAATTTTTTGATATTCTGATACATCTGTTAGTATCTATAGAAATGTTATTATATCTCAAATTAGTCGCATTAAGTTTAGTTGCAATAATTATATAATTAATATAATTGCATGATTAGTTGCAATAATTATATAATTAACTGTAAATCTTTACGTAAGCTTCTCCTGGATAATGATATCATGGTTGGATTTATAAGTAGATGTCGGCTGGATTAGCTTGAAGCATAATCGGGTGCCTGTTTACATTTTCAGTCGATTTATTTAAGTTAATTTATTAAGTTTAATGTTTATTTTTATGTTATTTTATCATTTTCATTATTCTTTATTATTTTTTCATCTTTTTACTCATACTCGAACCAAGGGCTCCGGCAGAATAATATATAAGGGGGTGCAACCCTCTTGCAAACTACCCACCCCTCCCCCCGAAAAAAAATTAAAATATTCTGCTATTACATTTTGTTTTGTTATTACATATACTTTCATCTGTTCATTTCTTCCAGATACATTTCTTCATTGTTAGCAAAATATTTAAAAAAAAGTACGAATTTCTTGTACTTGCAAATTTTGCCCAGAGGCGATCGCGCTGGCGCTGGCATAGCTACTGACTTTGAAGCGCAAATAACTACAAACAGTAGTTTCGTATACTAACGTGTTTGTGCAAGATTAACATTGGTATTTATTGTGTTGATGAAGTCTTACAGTTGCGAGAAGTCAGTTTGTGTTATACACCTTTGTTAAACTGAATAACTAATAGAGAATAAAATATTATTTACATTTTATTAAATGAAATTTAAAAATATAGCTTGGATATCTGCTAAGTTTGTGAATGCTCAGTGTGCATAAGAAAAGAATCAAAGATGACTCAGAATTCATTGAAAAAGTTATAAACAGATTTGGACAGCAAACAGGACGATTACAATTCTTGTTTGATTAAACAATTTTTTAATTGTTATGTATCAATAATTACTTAATTATTTGTTTTCCACAAAAATATGTTTAATAAAAAAATTTTATAACAAAATTTTTCTGTATCTCTGTAATTGTTTTGAAAAAAAGTCAGGGGGGTGAAAGTGCACCCCTTGCACCCCGCTGCCGGCGCCCTTGACTCGAACCCATATACTTGCTTGGTATTTGCACCTACAACATCCCAATTTAATCCGAAAAGCTCTGTTTCCCAGGTGGTGATTTTATGCACTTCCACTTCGATTTTCAAGAACACGGTTTATTGTCTGCGTCGAGTTTTCTTTTGTTTTCCTTGAGGCCGAAATATATCGCCGAAAGTGCTCCCGGAAAGACTGCATGATCATGCCCCCCTCTGCATGGTAATGTATGTCAGGTAATGTATGCCCGTTTTGGTGATTTTATTCTTTTTTTTTTAATTCTTTCTTTTTTTCGATATTTAGGATGTTATTTCCTGTTACAAACTTTTGAGCATCTCCTGTCTTGGTATTCCGAAGGTTGCTAATGTTTTTTGGATATCCCCTATTGTGGAAATACTTTCAGTTCTCTTATGAGGTAATAACTTTTTTTTTGTTTTTATATATAGTCCACTCAATTCTGGACTTNTATATATATGTTTGATTAATATCTTTTCTTGTTAATTGTTTTTTATCTTTTTAATATTATTGAGATATTTTTTCTTACCTTGAGGTTGAGTAGTTGGTGGGGCCGTCCATGCTGTTTTGTAGGAACTTTCTAAAAGAGAATGTAGCAGGTCAAAGTTGAATATTTGATAGTTATTAATGATGCATCATAATGTACGACATTCTTAGAAAAATTGAATGTTTTTCCAAAAATTTATAACTATTTTGTTTAAAAATACCATATTTTCATAGACAAAAAAATTTGACGTTTTCGATTAAAAAGAATACTTTCCTTAATATTGTTTGTACACAAACATATCAAAATATTCATGTACAGTTTAAACAATATTTACTATAATGTTGATTAATATCTATTACACTGACAAGGTACGTCAGTCACTGAAAAAATGAAACGCTCTGACTTATGAATATTGTATTACAATCACTTACAAAAATCTAATGTTGAATTCGTTTTTTCAGTTGTGGTTGTCATTTTAAAATCGATATTTTATCGTGCCCTTTATGCTGTTCGTAAAAAATGCATACGTGGAAAAAGTATGTTTTTTTTTTTTAAAGAAATATATTCTATTCTATTTAGTAAATCTATGAAAACGTATTCTCTATCTACATTATTTGGGTTCATAATAATAGGCAAAAAATTAAGAATTATTAATTGATTTTCGCGATTTTCTTTGTGATTTTAAAATGAAGCCAAAACAGTGATTCTCCTCTTTTTATGAAAAAAAATGCATGTTAATCATTTTTGAATAATTAAGACATTCGCCCGTTCTTAAATACAGGTAATTTTCAGCAAGATGTAGTACAAAGAGTATAAAATTAACATTCTAAATTCTATATACTACTTCCGGTTTACGTTAACTTTTCTTTTCAAACTTTTTTTTATTAAAAAAAAGGAAGAAGAATAGAACAAATTTAATAAAGATAGAATAAAAACTTAAAAATAATAAATCTATAAATAAAAAAAAAAAACAGAAAAACTAAAAATTGTGAAGACGTTTTGTTTGTTGGGTGACTTAGTTTTGAGTGTTTTATTAATTTGAAAGGTTTTAAAAAATAATTAAGATAATAATGAAGCTTTAAGAATAAAGAAAACTTTCGTCTCTAGTTTTGGTTCTGGTCACAATAACTTAAACATATAAAAAAAAATCAAAAGTTTTTATCAAATATGAGAATCTTTACTTGTCAACTTGCCACAATGTATAATTTTGCTGAACTTTCAAGTTCTGAAAATTACGATGCAAGATGTCAAGAATTTCACAAGTACAACTTTATTTGTGCATAATCCAAGCAATTAAAAAAGATGCAATCAAACAGTTAAAAAAATGATAATTTTGGAAATAGGCATAGAAGTAATCTGTAGAGAGTTAATATTTAATGAAAAAGATTTGTCTTAAAATTTAGAAATCTCTTATAAATAATTTGCAAATTAAAACTTAATTTTAAAATTAATAAAATCTTATTTAATTGTACATAAGTAATTAGTACTTAATTTTAAAATTAATTAAAACTTATTTTAGAGAGATTTTTGTTTCATAAAATGCATTTAATGAAAGAAAGTTAAAACAATTGTGAACAATTTAAAAAGTGTCTGAAGTATGAGAAAGTATGGTAATCAATAAATTTTAAATGTTCTACAAAGAAAATATGTAATACGTAAAAAATATTTCACTCAAAAGTGCTTTAACAATTTCAATTTTAACTAAGGAGTTACGAGGTTTTTGAGTTATCATATTTTTTAAAACTATTAAAACTGTAAATACTATTTAAACTATTAATAGTATTATACCATGAATGTGTTGTCAATGGAAGGTTGATTTTGAAACTAAATTGGAACTTGAAATAAAACTTGAAGGATGCAAATTGAATTGAACTGTAAATTATCAGAAAAGTAAAGCAAGAATAAACTCTAAAAAAAAAAATAATAATAATCTTAAAAATCTTCTTATTTAATTCTTAAAATGCATATTTTCGAAATAGGAAAAAAAGTATTTCATTAAATTTTTTTAAGTGTATTGCATTTTTTAAACTATTTGATATCAAGTAAGAAGCTTAACCATAAATTTAATGCTAAATTTTAGCAGTTGAAAAATATTTAACATGACACGATAGAAAAACAACATGTAAATAGTGCATATAAATTAAGACATTTAAAACCACGAGTTTGTCTCAAAATATTAAACTTGGAGGTAAACTTGAATAATAATAATTATAATTATAATAATAATAAAAATAATAATAAAAGATTTAGGGATAGATAAAAGATGGAAAACAAAATGGAAATGATTAAGGATAAAAGAAAAAAAAGAAAAACATTAGATACCTTTTTTTTTTTTTTTTTAGNCCTTTTTTTTTTTTTTTTTAGCGAGCTTCTCTCAACCACGAGCTTGTCTCAAAATATTGAACATAGACGTAAAATGGAATAATAATAATAATAATAATAATAAAATGCTTAGAGATTAATAAAAGATGAAGAGCGAAATTGAAAGGATAAAGGATAAAAGAAAAAAAAGGAAAACATTAGAGATGCATTTTTTAAAAAATATTTTTTATTGATGTGAAACAATATTAAAAAAAATAATAATAAATAAAAACATAATCGAAAATTAAAATTATTATAAATAAATGAACGATGATAAATAAAATAAAGATGAAAATAGATAATATTATATGGAATAAGAAAAGAAATTAAGCCGTTTCGTTTTAAAACTTTTAATTCTTTTTTAAATTCAAAAATTTAACACTTTGTTATACATTTTTTCATAAAGTTTCAATTAAAAATATTTATGAGGAACATTTTTCTTCAAAAAATAATTTTAAAGAAAGTAGCAAATTCAAAACGTTATAAGCAAATCGAAAATATGATTAAATGGGCATAGCATGCTATTTAAAAGTGCTATAAGATTAATTTTCAAACACAACTGAACTATTAAAAAATTCCGGATCAAATTACAGTATATAGTGATGGCACTTTGGGTGCATCATCTGTAAAATCCATTTTACCATAAAATCAGTTTTCACCGTAAATTCCATTTGTACCGTTAATTATTTTACAGTAAAATTTACTTAATTACAGAATACGGTAATTATTACTAAAAAAATGCGATCAGATTTTTGTTCCTTAAAGTGTTTCTGTAAAAATAGACTTTTTACTGTAATTTCTTACAGTTCAATGAGTTTTGGTTGAAACTTTTTGAATGGCTTATTTGTTTTCAAGTATTTTAATGTAATTGCATTCAAAATAATGCCATTAAATTTAATTAAGAACCATTAGCATAAAATAACTTTCAGAACTTAACGCTATTAGATTTGTGGTCAGAAAACATCTTTGAATGATTTGTAATAATTATGGAGAAAGTCGTAATAATTATGGAGAGAAAAAAATAAAACTTACCTGTGAAGAGCATGATGAATTACTTTTTATCAATTAACAAACATTTGGTTTACTTCTTTAGATGGATTAAAATAAAGTTTTAATTCAACTATTAAAAACTGGTTACAATTTTTTATACTTGATAAACGAAACAACCCTTTTCCCCTTATAGTACACAACAGATTTTCAAACAGGAAACAATTATGATCGTTTCATAGTTTCCATGAAATTCATGAACTTGTTAAAAAGCGGAAAAGCTTGAATGATGAAAATTGTCATCGGTTTCTGGTCACAACTCATTTTGTACCAAATATCATGCCTGGGAAATTCTTGAAACACTTCATTGGGAGGAGTTTAGTCAGGTGAGATCCAATTGTAGTGTTCTATTATGTGACGTCATGTAAAGCGAGGTGTTCATTGGTTACTTTTTCCCACTAAAGAATGTTCACGGTAAGAGGCGGCAAATGGTAAGCAACGTGAGAATTTTTTTTAACAAACCTGTATTGAATCTAATGTTTAACAAGGCTAATAAAAAATAATTCTGGCTACTGATTAAGCTGAAATTACTCAAAAAATATCATTGCTCGTTGTGAAATAATATATAATATGAAATAATTAATGAGATAGATATCATTTTCAATACGCAGTTAGGTTAATGAATAACAATTTGGACACATTTAGAGAAAATACGCAAGAATTCTCTTGTTCGCGTATCTTTTTACAGTTCGCTTAAATGTTAAATTAAAATAGAAATTAAACGAGAAATTCAAAATTGACATTTACAAAATTTTTCTAGTAATTTGTATTTTTGAAGAAAAAAAAAGCATTGACAACTATTGGTTATTCTTATAATTATATTATATATTGAATTTTTAAAATTTAGAGACTAGGAAATGTTAATATTTTATGCTTAATCACTGAAATTAATTAATTACTTAAATGTTTTTATAATAATTGTTATTTATAAGTATTTCTTCCCTTTTAAAATGTTTGTATTACAAAATTAAATGATATTTATCAACAAAAGTATGAAGTTTCTTTCGAATAAAAAAAAATATGTTTAAAAATGTATATTTCAAATTGTATATTCAAAAATATGTAAAATAAATATATAATATAATACAGGGGGTGGACAAAATTATAGAAACGCTTCTATACGAGTACACTTTTTCATATTTCTCAAGAAATACTTAACGAAATTTTTTATAGCTTCAGAAGTGCTCCGATCATGCGATATATCATACATATCAATGAAGTTAATGTGCGTATTCAATAAAGAAAAGCTTTTAGAGGTTTGAGGGATTGACAATAAATTACAAACGGTAAATAACACCCTTTGCCTAATTTAATTCTAAAGTTTTTAAACACCCTATGCAAATCAACGTAGTAATATATTTCTAACTTGTGACAGTTATTTTGGTTATTATATGCAATAATTAATCAAAATTTCGCAAGCCTAGCTTAAGTATTTATGAAAATATGGAGATTTTCATAAAAAAAATGATTTTTTTTTGTCTGTTTTTTTTTGTTGCTATTTTTTGCTATATCTTTTAATGTGAAAAATATTCATTAAAACTAAACAAAATTTTTAGAACATTTTAAAGTTAATTATAAAATATTTTTCTTCAAAATTTGAGAAAAATTCGTTTAAAACTGCGTAAGATAAAAGTAATTAAAACAGTTCGTTTATACTGCTCAAGCGCGTGGAAAATAAAAAAAAA